AATTCCCATTGTTTATCTTCTCACATCAGAAACAAAGGCTGCCGGAGGCAATAAACAGAGTTAGAAGGATCCCAGGAGTTATCAGATATTCGAGGAATGAGTGTGCCTCGTATGTCTTGACGCATGTGGGCTCGGCATGCTCGGCGTTACCCCTGGGCGCTGCCAGCTTGCGCCCAGCACACGGGACGGATCCAGCCTCGCATAGCTCTGCACAGAGGTGTGTGCGCTGAGTGGCAGTCCTGTGAAGTTTGCTTTTCCAGAAACCTGCTGGATTAGTGATTAAGCTCAGTCGTGACTTCTTTTTTTTTTTTTCTTCCCTCCCCCTAAAGCTTCTTTCGACCTGTCCAGACTCGCATTCTCCCAGCGCTTTGGAGAGATGCTGCTTGCAACGCCTGAGCTGAAGGGTTTCTGTAAGCCCGGCTTTGTGGGGAAAGGGCTCGTTTTGGCCATGCTGAGCTGCCCCATCCTGTATAAAAAGGAGACCGTGTAGGGATTGCTCAGAGGGATCAGTCATTGTGCTGGAAGGGATTTTGCCAAATCTTTTCATTATACAGACCAAGCTACTTTCTCCTTGGTTAGGAAGCAAACCTCAGGTGTGCTTTCTCAGCGTCTTGAGTCTGGGGAGTTGCTGCTTGGCTTGTTGCCTATCTAGAAAAACCTCTGTTCTCCAAATCTGAAGAGATGCTCTATTCCCCCTTTTCATGAAAGCCTTAGGCTTGTTCTTCCTCCTGCCTTTGAAGGCTCAGATAGTTTTAAACTTTTGCCTCCTGCCTCTTCAGGCACAAGTTGTAAAATTAAATGAAGGGCCTTTTACATCTTGCTGTGCACGGGAAGGTCCTTCTGCTTTATCTGTGGAGAAGTTTGCTTTATACAGGGGAAGCAGCCGAGTTACTTTCCAAAGCAACTTGCATTTCACAGACTCAATCCAGCTCTTGAACCTGCACTTGCAGTGATGTGATTGAATTTGGATGCAAGTCCTCTCGGTGCTCCAAACCCATCCTGAATGCTGGGGATATTTTGTAGAGAGTTTCAGCCAATCAAGCATCTCTCCACAGCTGGCATGGGAGTGCAGGGCTCTGGTTTCAGTGACAGAGGTTTACTTAGTTATTCATTTATTTACCTATTTTGGAGGGAGAGAAGTCCACCTGAAGAGGTGAACTAGAAAATGTGCAAAGTGGGGTGTGGATGTAAGCATCTACTTAACTGCATAAGGCACTTGGGCTGCCGTGATCTGTAGCTGTTTAGGGAATTTGAATGATAAGGGTCCAGTCCTGTGCCCCAGAAAACATCAGATAAAACAGGGCAGGGATCCTTTAAGGGTGAGATCCCTGGTTATCAAACTATCTGGGAATAATTACAGCCTCTTGCAGCTAAAACTGGCTGTGGAGGAGGCTCTCCATATTGGACATGGATGGTCTGAGATGTGGTTATGCCACTGCAGAGCAGGGTGTGCCACCAGCAGCTCCGTCTACCCCCTATTTACAGCGGTTTAAAACTGCCATCTGAGCTTGGGACTTGGCTTAGAGGGCCAGGATCACGGATGGGCTTTTAAACCCTTAAAAAAAAATTAATTTGAGCTCTCTGGGAAAGTTTGAAGTTGTGAGTGTTCAAACAAGGCTGGCTAAGCAGCTGCTGCCTAACCACTTTCAAGGGTTGGGGAGGAAGGCATAAAAGGAGTTTGGATTTTCCTGGCCCCCTTTCATCCGAGCATCACAAGGTGCTTTGCAAACACAGGGCCCAATTCTCCGTGCTCGTCCCTGCCAGCTTTGCAGCGGGGATGTTGCAAGAGCAGCCCGAATGCTCCTTTGTGCCTGTTTGGGTCACTGTGCAACGTAAAAGATTTGGGAGGAAGCATGCCTGGGTCCCACATTTGTATCCTTCTGGTTTTAAACCAGACTTCAGTTGTTTCAGGTGATTTTGTACAAGATTCTTTGCATTGTCGTTGCGACCCTCCCACCTTCCACCTGGCGAGGAACCGGTCCAGCATTTTCCCGTTGGATGCTGTGCAGGTTTGGCAGGTGCCTCCAGGGCTTTCCCTCTCTGTGCTCTTGGTTTTTGCTGTGAGGACAGTGTCAGGAAGGTTCCCCAGTCACATGTGTTCCAGCAGCTGGGATGGTGGGTCACAGCATTCGGGTTTGATGAGGAATTTGCTTGCTTTGAAGGATGCTGTGGGTCAGACGAGTGGCTCTCCACTGCTGGGGTGCCCGGGGCTCCTTTGCATTGCTCTGGGGATCCTGGGAGGTCCATGAGGTCAGTGCATGAACCCACGACACCCATTCCCAAGGCAGTGGGGTGGGAGAGTGAAAACATCAGCCTCCACTGGAAATATATTTTAATTCTTATTTATTTGCAAGTCTTGCCACTCTTGACAGAGCCAGCTAATTTTAGCTTAGCAACAGAAATGGACTGGCTATGGGTTGTACCCTGCAGAGGCAGGAAGCCTCTGCCAATCCTGGCACTGGGCTTCCAACCAGTTGGGCTTATCTCTGAGCACTGGTCCTGTCTGGCAAACACCCTTCAGGGCTGCGTCTGTCAGAGTGGAGGAGAGCTCTCTGCTCTCTGGGTCCTCAGTGGTGATGGACATTTCTGTCCTTTCCGAAGAAAGCCTCAAATAAAACCTCAGTCTTTCACAGCAGAGCCTTATTCTAGGGAGGATGGACATGAGGGAGATAAAACCACTCTGCACCCCAGGTTGTGCCCAACTGGATCAGCTCCAAATATGAACAACAGGAAGGCAGGGGTTTTTTTGCAATGGTTTTCTATGACTCCATGAATCAGAACTGGACTTCTGCATTGAAGCAAAGAAAAAGTTTATGTTGCTCTGCTGAGAGCTGCTGTCCTCCCAGTTAATTCATCCTTGTGGATGGAGAGAAGTGTATTACAGCCACTTTCTTGAAATTATGAAATTGCTGAGCAGTCCTTAGGTTAACAGTTTCCAGGAGGTTCTTCTGTGTTTCCTTACGAGTGCAGTGACACTGGTTCTTACAATACTTGATGATTTTTTTTTTTTTCTTAAAGCCTTTTGCATCCACAAAACTGTCAGTCACCCGAGGCTGCTCAGATGGCAGACTCTGCTCTGGGTGCCTGGTGCAGGTAACCTCTGTCTCACCCACCCCCACACACCCGTGAGTGACCCCCAGCAGCATCCTCCAGGCTCTGTAGGACCTGCTGCCGTGGGCTGCTGCACTTTGCAGCCAGGAAGGTGTTGTGCAGGATCTGGCTGGCTCAGCAGAACTGGAGCCAGTATTGTGCTTTCATGAAATTACTTGGGGGGGAAAAGATGATTGAATCTCTTGGCCGATGGAGAGCAGCCTGGGGTCTGTTGCAAGTTGGGCGAGATCAAACTAATCCTGCAGAAGGCTTCTCTCGCCATGTGTTTGCAAATTGTGATAAAAAACTTAAAACTCATCAGATTTTCTCCAACCAGCTCTAGCCTGGAGTGCTGCAGGAGGGGAATTCCCACAGAGCTTGGCCTGGTGGCCTGCACTTGCCTCCTCTTGCAGCAAGGCATTGCTGTTGTACCTGAGCCCAGGAGTAGCTTCTGCTGACTTGTAAAGGAAGATGTAGTAAAGGATGTTTCCTTCACATTCAAAGCAGATTGCCTAAGTGGATGCTGCTTAAGCTCTTCCCAGCTTCCACCCTGCTCTTCCCAGCTTCCACCCTGCTCTTCCCAGCTTCCACCCTGCTCTTCCTGGCTTCCACCCTGCTCTTCCCCATTACAAAGTGGAGATATTGCACGGGTAGGTGGGTGTTTGCTGGGTGCACCCGGTGTTAGGTGCAGGGTCCAAGGAGGGGGGGACAGGACTGGAGGTGCAGGCTCACCCTTGAGCTGAGACAGTGGGGCTGTAGGCACATAATGGTGAGCATAGCAGTGCCTCCTCCTGGGAGACTGTTTTGGCAGCTCTTAATTGGAGGTGGAGAGTAGGTGTGAAAAGCAGCTTTCAGCCAAGAGATGGTGCCTTAACTGTGACAGGAAGGACTGAGACAGAGAGCTGTGTTTCTTCCAGGGAAGAGACCAGACAGGCTCTCAGAGGATGACTTTGTCAATCATGATTTGCACTTAGAAGGGATAGAGAGGCAGGATATCTAATCCCAGGAGGGGGATGCCCAGTCCCTGGGAGGAACAAGTCCTGCTGCAGAGCCAGCAGCTGGACAAGGCCAACCTTGCAGGTCTCAAGCAAATTCTGACAGGAGCTGCCCAAGCTGGCAGACTTGTGGAACCATTCCAAGGACATGGTGGTCCCTACCAGCCTGGCCCTGTTGGCACAGGGAGAGTAGCACTAAGCCCTGTAGGGGCTCTCTGGCCTGCCTGCATCGTTTGACTGCCAACCCTGGGACATCTCTCCATGGCTTCACCCCCCCCCTTGGAAGGGGAAAGCAACAAGGGAAAGATTATCCAAAGGAAAAGATTATCCATTTCTCCATAGCTGCAGGATGGCTCCTTGCAAGGAGCCACAACACTGGTCAGTGCCTCTCCCTGCATGCATCCATCTGTCTGCCTAGATAGATGCGTGCAGGGATGCATGGCGTTGTTCCATGAGTTTTTCACATCCTAAACAACCCTTTTGTTCCTCCCCAGAAGAAACCTGCCTGCACACAAGCAGCCTCAATCCTCAGCACAACCCCAAGTCACTGCTGACTGTCCCTGCAGCCTCAGGAGGGAAAGAGATGCTCTTGCTGACCCCTCCATGAGCAGGGGGCTGTTTGCTGCCTCTCAGACAGCTGAGGCATCTTTGCAATTTAAGACTTGGATAAGCCTTTTCTGGCCTTGGTTGGGAAGGCCCAGTGTTTGCTGAGCAGGGTGAAGCTTCTGAGCTTACCTGACTTCTGAACATCTGTTGAATGGTTTGTCAGGGATGCCACCAACCTGGATCTGACTGTTCTCATCTTCAGGGAAATATTCCCCAAATGAGACAATGCAAAGAGTTTGCACACTTGAAACTTATTTGTTTTAATAAAAGGAACACAGGAGATCTCTGCTTTCTCCAAGACATCTGCTGCATCTTCCCTGACATGCCTCTATTAAGAATTTGTCCATGACTGGAATTTCCACACCTTCCCATGGCAGGCAATCTCCACCCCTCACCTCCTGGCTTTGTCTGCCAACCGCTGTGGCTCTTTCAAGGTCTCCTTGTCATTCCAGCAATTATTCTTCCTCCTGAAATATAATCATAATTTTTTATTTAAGCAGGCCTTCCTGACGTTCCCCCCCACCATCTTTCCAGATCTTCCTGGATTTCAGGTTTACTTATTTGCCATCTTGCAGGGTGGATTAATTGCAGCTGCTTAAATGATGGGGCTTCGATCCTGATCTCAATACTGTGGAAGATAAAAAAAAAAAGGGGGCTTTCTGTCAGTTTTGTCTTACATGAGTGGCTTATTAAGAGGGATCTTGTTCTGCAAGTGACTTGCCTAGATTTAAAGGCAGGAGAAAAGAAACATAAAGGCCATGATGAAGCAAGAAGACAGAACTTGAACAAACGTTGTGGGCAGCAGCTCACCCCTTGAAACGTTCTTTGCCCAATCTTAGAAAAGGAAGAAAGTATTCCATTATTTGGGTGGGTTTTTTTCCACAAGCAGGGCTGTTTTGAGGCTGCATGTGAGCCTTAAGCTCTGCACAGCAATCAAGATGTGATATCACAGTGGAGATCTGCACTGAGACCTCCTCGCAGAGGGCAAGAACTGTTTGCTTTGTTGCTCCTACTGAGCCTGTGGCTCTCCAAGCAGGTAGATGAAGGCTTTGTCTGTGGTTTCTACCACCTCAGCCCAGGAAAACAAAGTTTGAAGCAAAGTTCTTGTTAAGGACGAGGCAGAGTGCCAGAGCCACGTTTCCATGGGGACTGTGGGATGCTGAGGATGGGTTTGATGCCTTGCTTGGGCTCCACAGCTCTGAGAAGTGTTCCATGAGCTGTGGGGTGGAAGTGTCTCTGAGTGCTGGTGAGGGCAGAGCATGTTTTCCATCTCCTGTCTCGCTCCTTATCTGCCCCAGAGCAGGGAAAGGGGATGGTCTGTCCGGTGCCCCTGAATGTGGTGTGGAGAGACACAGTGGGAGAGCCTCAAAGCTGAGGTCCTTCAGCAAAGATCCTGCCTTACATCCTTGCCTCAACCTCTGGATCCTGGAGCTTCCTCCCTTTCCAGAAGACGTGTCTTTTGGAAAGCAGTGATGGTTCTCATGGACTGCTAACAAGCTGGGATTGTGACGGGGCACAGCATTTTAGGCACAGTTACCTCCATCCCCACAGCAAGCACGGGCTGAGGAGGGATGATGAGACACAGAGGACCTGTCAGGGGGGAAAGAGGCCAGAGCCCCGTTCTGGATAGTTTCATCTCATTTGCCTGCCTTGCAAAACAAATTACCAGACCTGTTCTTGGAGAGCTGTACCTACCTTTGAAGCATCCTCGGCCTTTGTTTTATCATCCCAAACAGCATTAAATGCGGGCTGGGGAGGCACCTTATCAGGTGCATCTCCTTGGAAAAGCTTGAAAGGCTCTTGTCGCGCTTTTCTTCATTCATGCTTTGAATTTATTGATCCACGTTTGCCTGGAGAATCTCGAGCTGAGAAATACATATTAGAAAATGAGATGATGCCCCGGCCTGAGCAGAGCTGACATTAATGTGGCTGCTACACCTGCAGCAAAGCACTCTCCTGCCAAGGTGCCTGCAGTCAGAGCAGGCACTAACTCATCCACAGGACCAGCCTTGTGGGTTTGCAGGAGCTGGTTCCCTGGCATGATAAATGAGTTGCTGGCATGGGGGAAGCCAAATCGGGACTGGAGATAGAATCTGATTTTTCTTGGCTTCCAGGCTCAAAACTGATCAACCAACTGTCCTGGGATGAATCTCACTGCTCTGGTGTGTGTCAGCTTCCCCATGCCCAAACTGGAATGATGGCTGGACCTGGGAGGGGATAGAGGGGATAGAGCTGTTACAGGCACTCCGTGTGTGTGCTCAGCATCCAACTCCTCAAAGCTCCCAGAGGTAGTTTGGTGCCTTCACTCCGGGTCAGCCAAGTGCAGCAAGATGTGAGAGCAGCAGTTGTTGCACTCCATGTCTGGGACTGCAGCACAGGGACAGGGACACTCACTGCATGGCGTGGGAGCAGAAAGGTTTGGGAGCAGCCCCGGGTTTGGCCATGGTGGGTTTTTGAAGCCACCCACGTGCATCAGGTCCTGTCCTCTGCAAACAGGGCTGTGCCCTTGGAGGAGCAGGAAGCCTTGGGCAAAGATGCCTGGCTGGTATAAAGGCTAGAAAAGCACTTGGCTCTGAAAGCAGCCTGCTGCTTCCCACTGTCAGAGAAGCATTGCCTCCAGTGATCATGCACAGGGAAAGCTGAATGCTTTTGACATCTCGCCATGCAGACTCCCCATGGACACCACAAGCCAAGACAGCTTTCTCCCTGGCTCCCACGGCCCCCCAGTTGTGAGCATGAAACCAAGCTGGTGAATAATTCTGCTGATGCACAGAAGAGAAAATCCTGTTCTCTCCTCCTGGGGCAGACTGGCAGGGTTAATGGGAGGAAGAGGCTGTGACAACTTGATTTTGTGGCTGAAGTCAGCAGATCTGGCTCCTGGGACAAATGGGAACAGGCAGGGAGCAGGAGCCACTTTTGCACAGTCACTTCTCGGAGGCGAGCAGGGCTTCAAAGGAAAAATCCTTAGCAGGATGTCGCAACTCTGGAGGAGGAGGGAAAAAAAACCAAGCAAACAGAAAAAACCCACAAGCTCTGTAGGGCTGGGAAATGCAGAGTCAAGGAATGAGGTTTCCAAACAGCCTCCCCCTGGTACTTGCATCTCTTGGTGCAGACGAGGCAGCAGCGTGAGCCAGCGCTGGCGATTCCCGAGGACGCTGAAGCTCGGTGTGGCCAGTGGGGAGGTGCAAGTGTGAGTTATGTGTCTGTCCCATGCAGGGGACCCTCCTTGTCCATGGCAGGTCAGGTTTTCACCACGGTAGTGCCACCTGAGGCAACTGCCAGCAGCCACGAGACAGAGGGAGTCTCTTACACCCACCTGCCAGCACAGGTATTAATAGCTGTAGAGTATCTTGGATTATCCCACAGCCTGGGGATAATCAGACTGGGTCTCTCTTAAGCTCTTTCTGTGATCCAGAGCTGGGAAATGGGCAAGCATGGACATTGTGCCCCCAACCCAGCAGGGGGTGGTGGGTTGGGTTACTGGGATGTGCAGCAGGGACACACGCTGGGAGAGAAGATGCTGAAAGCTTTCCAGGTGCTTGCCCCTAGAGGATAAGCTCCCTCATCCCCCTAATGCTGACAGCAGCTCTGTGACTCCTTCTGCTGAGGATGGGGCTATGGAAAGCAGAGCACATGGTCCCTTCCACACAGGGCCAGTCTTTTCCAGGTCAGCAAAGACCTCATGGCCCTGTTCATGAGCTGGGCTCATGGGAGAGGTGCCCAGCCTGTGAAATTTTGCCCCTGCAGGCTCCTGATTCTCTCTTCCCCACTTCAAGCCCTGCTTGAATCCCAAGTGAAAGGAAACCTGGCAGCTCCCAGAGGCCATCCTTGCCTGCTGGGGGCTGGGGCAGCTAAAAGCAGGCTCCAGGAGGGAAGTGGTTTGGAGAGCGATGTTTGCCGGTGATGAGCACACAGCCATGCTGTGGGAGCAGTGTGGCAGATGGAGCTGGCAGCCAAGTGCCTGTCCTGCTTGTTTTGGCTGACTTTGGAGACCTCTGGCTTTTCCTAGTAGCACTTGGATGTGCCGGTACTCAGGAGACCTGACCGGGCACATTCAGACAACGCTGAAAATATCTTCCTTGCAGGCAACAGAGGCAAAGGGGAGCCAGCAGCTGGACTCCCCGAGAGACAGGGACTAGGCTGCAGAGGGATGGTTGTTTTGCTTTGGGCTTGCTCTCTGTCAGCCAAAAATGCATCCTGCAGAGCCACCACCATGGGACATTTAAGGTGACCCCTCACAGGCAGCAGGTCCCAGCTACGAGGGGGTGAGAATTTTGGTCCCCTTGCTTTCTGCAAGGCAGGGTGTCCCAGCTGAACACGCACTCGTGCTCCCCTAACCCTCTGTGCTGGTGTCACGACAGGTACCTGGCAAAGCTGTCTTCAGTGGGGAGCATCTCCGAGGAGGAGACCTGCGAGAAGCTGAAGGGCTTGATCCAGCGCCAGGTGCAGATGTGCAAGAGGAACCTGGAGGTGATGGACTCGGTGCGACGCGGAGCCCAGCTGGCCATCGAGGAGTGCCAGTACCAGTTCCGCAACCGCCGCTGGAACTGCTCCACGCTGGACACCCTGCCCGTCTTCGGCAAGGTGGTGACACAAGGTGAGTCAGGAGAGAGTGTGCCTGGGGTGATGCTGCTGGGGGAACAGATACAGGAGCGGTCTGGGGGGCTGCAGGCAGATTTTTTGCCTGCTCGCCCCTGAACAGTGGCTGGGGAGAGCCAGGAATGGATGGCCCAGTGTTGGATCTTAGGGCGGATGGGCACTTCAGCAGGGCTCTTTTTTTCACTGTGTCGTGGACAACGTATCCAGACACTTGCCATTCCACAGCTCTCCTGAACCTTTTTTCACACCCATTTTATGGAGGCACCAGCCCAGGGTATCAGGAGACCTTTGACAAGTACAGGGCAAGTTTGAGCAGGGGTCCTAAAATCACCCTGTGGATCTCAGCTCTCTCCTACCGAGGCCAGGAGCTCCACTCCACAAAGCCATGCCTGCATTTACTCGGTCTCTTCCCTGGGCAGTGGTGAAGCAGTGGCTGCTGCCAGGCCAGCATGTGGCCACTCTTGAGCAGAGCATCAGTGAATGCCCTCAGGAGGACAGCCTGCTGCCACCTGGCACAGGAAAAACACACAGCAGCTGGGCCCTCAAGGGCAGCATCATCGCCCACCACCAGCCAGCTGCCAGCCTTCGGGGCGGATGTGGCCAGGGCAGCCCCCAACCCCTCTGGTCCCAGCTGCAGCCAGGCTTCCCAGAGGCCCAGGACTGTAATCAAACCAGAGCATTGGGGTGAGGAGACGATGGGGAAAACCCCTGGAGATCAGGGAAGCATCCCTTGCCTCCCCTCAGGTGCTGTCTCTGAGGCACCATCTCACCTCCCATCCCAGGACCCCTAGACCAAAGCATACCCCCAGCTCCTTGTTTGACTTTCCTCCCTCAACGCAGGGGTGAAGATCTCTTCTCATGAAGGTTCAGGGACTGGAAATACCAGAAATACCAGAAACTAAAAGTCGTCTCTTTTTAGGCAGCCACAGCACAAACCGACCAACACGATCCTACTATTAACCTCGATTAACTTGGAGGCTGTTCAGTCCCCACGCTGGCTGGGTCCTCCTCAGCCACTGCCAGCGAGGCCACCAAGGTCTGGGCTGCGACCACCAAAGTAGCTGCCCTCTGCCCGACCGGCGAGCTGGGGTGACATCTGCTCGCAGGCCATCCTCCCTCTGCACCAGGCAGGGACCACCCCAAATGCCAGCCTTCCTTGCTCAGAGATGGAGAGTCTGTATCCTCAGCTGGCCTCAGAGGACACTGGGGATTTGGGTGTTGCAAGAGCTGATCCCTGGCCATGACACACTGTGTGTTCACACCCTGGGTGCCCCCAGCTTCCCAAACGAGCTCTTCCCAACTGTGTGGCACCAAGAGCTGGGACAGGCCTGCACCCTGAGGACCAGCGGGGTTTCTAGAGGTGGTTTGGGAGCAGAGCAGGGTTTTGCACAGTAGTTTGGAAGGTGCTGGGAGCTACAGAACCCTGTGTGAGAGGACGGCAAGGAGTTGCAGGGGGTGTTCCTGGATGTGGGAAGCAGCCAGCTGTTTTGGATGCAGGAGGGATTTCATAGCAGAGGTGCCCTGTGAGCACCAGGCAAGACAGTCTCTCCATGTAGGCTCTGGAGAGTTCTCCCCACATTGGCAGTTCAGGCTCTGCCTCTCCCATCGCCAGGTTATCACTTGTCCATCGTTCATGTTTTTAGTGTTGTGGGGCAGTTCCCAGCTCCTTCACTATTGCAAGGGCCCTCACTGCTGCAAAACATCTCCCAGTGCTGAGAGGTCTCTGCTGAGTTGGGTCCAGGCTTAGCACTAAGCAAACAGTGTCCCTGGGGATGGGGCAGATGAGGGTCCTGCACGGGGTACCTCATCCTGGGAGGAAGTGATGGAGCAAAGGGATTAGCCTGACAGCTCTGCATAGCATATTTTGCCAAGAGCCAGCTTTCAGACCAGCTTTTCAAGGGGATTCACGTCCCACACCAGCGTTAGGAGGGGAGAGGAGCAGCGACACGTGCGACAGCCCACCAAGGGCCTTTGGCCACCTGGCTGGACCCCCCCTCCCACCCCTAGAAATCCCCCTCACGTTGCCTTGGACTTGCTGCCAATGTTTCCCACCGTGGTTTGTGCCGTTGCAGGGACACGGGAGGCAGCATTCGTCTATGCCATCTCTTCAGCAGGGGTGGCCTTCGCCGTGACCCGCGCCTGCAGCAGCGGCGAGCTGGACAAGTGTGGATGTGACCGCACGGTGCAGGGGGGCAGCCCGCAGGGTGAGCGTCCAAACGGGGCGGGGGGCATTCAAACCCACTCTCTGGAGCCATCCAGAAAGGAGGAAAAAGTTTGTTAGTCCACATTGAGTCCTGTGAAAAGGCATAGCCTGGGAGCATAGCCCACAGGGCGGGGAAGGTGTCTCGCCCGTGTGTCTCAGCTTCCCCTATCCCCCAGGCAGTCTTGCCAGAGGTGGGCAGGCCAGCTGGATTTTAGAAAGAGCAGGGGTGGAGAGTGCAAGCACCACAGGCTGGCTGTACCTGTCTCATCCGTGCTCTCTGCCTCAGGGTTCCAGTGGTCGGGCTGCTCCGATAACATCGCCTACGGCGTGGCCTTCTCACAGTCCTTCGTCGACATCCGCGAGAGGAGCAAAGGGGCCTCTTCCAACAGAGCACTAATGAACCTCCACAACAACGAGGCAGGGAGAAAGGTAATGGCCAGGGGGAAACCTGGGCATCCCAGCTGGGCTCTGCAGCTTCGTTTAATCCCACCAGCTCATACCCACCAACAGTGCTTTCTGCACAGCCCTCCCTGGCCCCATCCCTTGTGCCCTCCCTGCTTTGCCCATTCCCGTGCTGACCGTCCTGTCTCGTTCCTTGTGTTGGTTCTTCCAGGCGATCCTGAACAACATGCGGGTGGAATGCAAGTGCCACGGCGTGTCGGGCTCGTGCGAGTTCAAGACGTGCTGGAAAGCCATGCCCCCCTTCCGCAAAGTGGGCAACGTCCTGAAGGAGAAATTTGACGGTGCCACGGAGGTCGAGCAGAGCGAGATCGGATCCACCAAAGTGCTGGTGCCCAAAAACTCCCAGTTCAAGCCGCACACGGACGAGGACCTCGTCTACCTGGACTCCAGTCCCGACTTCTGTGACCACGACCTCAAGAACGGGGTGCTGGGCACCAGCGGCCGGCAGTGCAACAAGACCTCCAAGGCCATAGACGGCTGCGAGCTGATGTGCTGCGGCCGCGGCTTTCACACGGACGAAGTGGAGGTTGTGGAAAGGTGCAGCTGCAAATTCCACTGGTGCTGCTCCGTCAAGTGCAAACCCTGCCACCGGGTGGTGGAGATCCACACGTGCCGGTGATGCAGGCGGAGAGCACCTCTTTTACTGACCCTGCTTCTCCCTTGCCCCACGAGCAGGACTGAGGATGTGACCCAGACACTGCGGGGAGAGCGCAGCTCTTTACAGAGACAGAAAACCCCAGAGAAAAAACAGATTTTAAAGAAAAAAATATTTAAAGTTTAAAAAAAAAAATTGATCACTGTTGGCTTTTTTTTTTTTTTTATTATTGTTATTTTGTTTTGTCTGCTTTGCTGTATTTATTGCCGAAGTCAGAGCCCCTCGGTGCCCTGTGCCAGTTTGCTCTCGGGCTGGCTGGGGATCTGTGGGATATCAGCTCCCATTGGATGGGCTCCTGCTGACTCCAAAGCACTGCAGACAGGAGATGTTTAAGCCGAGGGTAGTGCAGCGTTCAAAACCTTCCATCACAGTTACTTTTGTGTGTTTAAGGCACATGCTGAGCACCCCGGAGCACCACTGCCCTGGCTGAGCCTCAGGAGGGGATGGAGCACAGCCCAGGTGCATGGCAGGGGACAGGCAGGTGGTGACAGGGTGGCACTGTCCCCCAACACTTAAGTTCCCTGTGGAGCCCAGCTAGGGGGATCAGTTCATAAAGGGAACATGGGGACACTCTTGCACCTCCTTGTTGTGGGATACCTGATGACCTCCTGGGCAGTGGATGGATTTTGGAGCAGTTCTTGGGTGTTGGATGGATTTTGGAACAGTTCCAGTGGCCACCCTGATTTACAGAATCTCCTCAGTGGTTGCCCAGGGCTGTTGGAGGATGCAGTGGTCCCACCATGCTTCTTCCCTTCCCCCCCTCTCTTCTCCAGCACCTCATTCCACTGGAAACAGCAAAGGGCAGTGGTACCTGCAATCCTCTGACTCTTAGGAGGTGGGAGCTGATGGGAGGAAATACCAGTGGTTTCTTTTCCTCTGTCCCATAATTGCCCCCACCTTGCTCACCAGCATCCCACAACAGGTCTCCTCTTCCTCCTCCACATGCCTGTTCTCCTGACCTGGGAGGGCTCTGGGGGACAGACCCTGTCGTGTTGGATGCTGAGAAAAGCAAAAGTATAACAGTGGAGCAATTGCTGGGGGTGAGGGAAAGAGGCTGCTGGGGGAAGAAGGGATTGCTTGTGCTCTGCCACTATCATTGTCTTGCCTTTGGGGAGGCATGAGAGAAGGACTGAACCAGAGGGGTGCTGCCATGTGTGCCCTGGCCACACGAATTTAGTGCAGCAGGGCCCCAGCTGCCCCCTCCTGCTCCCTGGAGCGCTGCCACGAGGATAAGGCACTGTCCTACCCACTGCAGCTTTGCTCTGCCTGGGACTGAGTCAGTGCAGAGTCCTTGCTGTTGGGCCGTGGGACCAAGTATTTGGAGAATTAATAAGCAGAGGGGCACTGAGAGGGGAGGTGGAAAGCAAACTGGTTCCTCTCTCCCTCACCCACTGGTCTGTGAGTTGACAGGCAAAAGGCAAGCAGAGAAAAACCTCAAAATGGCACCTCAAGCCAACAGGAACATCTGCCTGTGATGTGGCAAGGGGTCAGCATGGGGTGGCATCGCCAAGCTCTCCTACGTAGGAAGGAGCTCCCTGCATGGTCCAGGAAAGCCC